CCCGGTGGCTTAAACTCACGCCGGGCGCGTGTGCGTGCATGCCCAAGATCCCGAGAGGAGAATGGAGGAGAAGGGACTGCGGCATGACCATCCCCCCTGGGGGGTGATTTCTCGCTTTCTGTCTCTATGTCTCTCTCTGTCTGGCGAGCGCACGCGCCCTACAGTGAAAATCTCTCAAAAAAAATGTAATTAAAAAAAACTAAGGTTAAAAAAGAACACTGTACATATTAGAAGATCTGGGGTCTGGCCTGCTGTGTGAACTTGGGTGGCTGGGTAATATTTACAGCGACAATAGTAATACCTACGAGGAGAGCCGCATACTTCTACACAGCAATGTGCCGGGCACTGTCTGAGCACTTTCTCTCTGTTAACTTGATTGGCTCACCAAAACCATTACAATGGAAATGATTATCATTTCCATTTTAAAGATGAGAAAACCAAGGACCAGAGAGTTCAAGCAACTTGCCCTGGCCCCAGAGCTGGTAAGAGACAGAGTCAGATTCGAACATGAGCAATAATGCTTTGTGGTATCACATGTGAAAGCCCTGTAAAGAGTAGAATAAAACCCTGGGCAGAGGCCGGGTGTCTTAACTCTTTTTAGCTTCGTCCTCTGGAACTCGAAGACTGAGAGCCCCTGGCGCCAGCCACTGAGGCCAGCAGAGGGCAGGGCGGCGCGCCAGCCCTGGCTCAGGAAGGCCCAGCCTTCTCTCTATCCTGCCTAAATTTAGGAAGGTGCAAGGCCTGGGTGGAAAGTGGACGCTGGAGAAGCCGGGCCCTCCCGGGCGGTCATAGGCAACAGTGCGCTGTGGCCACTGTGTTAGCGCCAGTGGGACCCTGCGCATCGGGCGGCTGTTACCTCCTCGGCCCCGGTGACTGAGTACGCATGCCCCTTCACCAGCTTCTGGTACGTGATGGCCTCCGAGTCCGCGGCGCTGGTGATCTGCAAACAACAGCAATCAGCCGGGCGCAGTACCCCACTTCTCTCCAGTCCTACAGCAAACGCCTTCCCAGCGCTGGCCTGGCCAGAGCACGAGGGCAGGGGACGTGGCCTGTGGAAGGAGGCACAGGCCGGCGCTTTCCCGACCTGGCCTCCCTTTTCCCAGGTAGCTTTCAGACGCCCACCCACCAAAAACAACCCCAAGCTGAGAAGAGTGAGAAAGGGCACAGCTTGGAGAGAGGGCCGGTGGGGGCAGGTGGGTCTCAGGGGCTCAGGACAGACACCAGGCAGCACTGGGTGGCCCAGTTGTGCTGAGCCCGTGTTGTGCCCTATGCCCAGTCCAGCCGCATGGCCTCCACTATGAAGGCTCTTTGCTTCCAGGCTGAGTTAAGAATTTGCACCTTCTCAAAGCCACTCCTTCCCGGATCGGTTCTAATGAGGGTTGCTCTTTTTCCCAGGTACAGGGAAGACGGGCTGTAAGGACAAAGGTCTTTTGCCTCAGTCTGGTCTACAGTATAAGTGAGAGTCTGCCCAGAGGGTCTGAAGATACTGTAGCCTGGAGAGCCCGGCTTCTTATCTGTCCCTTTCTGAGACCAACATCCCAGATAGAATGGAGTTCAGGTGCTGGAATCAGCGTTTGTCTCAAGGCTCCTGGGGACCTTGGTCACCTCCCGGTCCTGGTGAGGCCTGCCAGCAAAGCTATTAGGGCAGGTGAACAGCCATAATGCTTCCTTCCTGTGCCTCCTGCAAGTCTCCCCACTTAACCCTGGGGAAGGTGAGGGCCTCTGGGCTCCAGGTACCAGCTCTGCAGATGGGGGATAAGGTGTCAGGACCAGCAGAGGGTAGAGGTTCTTGGGACACCTGTGGTCTGGAGGGTACGAGTGATTCAGAGCAGGTTGAGAAGGAAATGAGTTGGAGAGGGAAGGGGTGGTGGTGGGGGGGGAGGCGCCATCCCTTTATCAATTGCACCGGGACATCCTGGCTGTTGCTTGGCAACCCCTGGCTTCTGGGTGATGCGTAATCTGGTAGACAGGAATGGGTTGTGTTCTAAAAGTGGTGGCTTTCCTCGGGCATTGTGGGAGCCTCCCCTCGGCGAGAGCAGATGGGGTGGGTTGGGAGGAAAGCCTGGGCTTACGTCGATGGAGCAGCCAAGGAGAGAGCCTTTCAGCAGAGCCTTCTGGATAATCCTGAACAGATCGGGAGGGGGCTTCTTCAACTCGTACCACTCAGCGATGCCTCCTGTGAAGTCCTCGAAGCCCTCGGTGGTGGCTCCCCCTGAGAGGGCTTCATAACACCCGTTGATCCTGTAGGAGAGGATTAGATGCTTGGCCACCAAGGACCCTGCTGATGCCATTGTCTCTCTCAAGTGAGCCCCTGACTCCCTAGAGCCCCTTGTTTGAGGCTCCAGGGACCCTCCACTCATGTTCTTTTGGGCTTTGTCTCCATCTCGGGGTACCCTTGGAGGCAAGGTACCTTTGTGTTGTGTTTGTTTGTTTGTTTTTAAATCTCACAGAACTTTGGAGATGGCAGGACCTTTAGTGATTTATCTCTCTGGGCCAACTTGCTGTATTGATTCTTTCTACATCCTGACAGGAAAGGGGAGGTCTGCTAATTGACGGTTTGCATTTGTAGCTTCAAAAAAGACAACAATCCAGTAGCAAAAGCAGAGAGGCACTGGGCCAGCACGGGGGTACTGCTGGCTCAGAGCTTCCTCAGCTCCGGTTTGTGAACAGTGGGGCTTAGAAGCATAGCAAAGGCCCTGGGTTCTCCAGGCTAGCTGTGTGCAGGGGACCTCTTCTTCCTAGCCTGGGGGTACCACGTTGAGGTCTTAGAGAGAGAACACTGCAATGGAAGGAGCCCCGGCAGTATGGCCACACAAGGCCTGTCTGGAGGGGGCTAACCAGGGCTTCCTACTGAGTGAGACCAACTTGACTCAGAGCAGTCCAGGTGGGGAGCAGCTCCCAGGAGGATGGGGAACTACTTCTAATTAACCGTACCCTATATCTGGGTAAGTTTCCACGATGTCCCTACCTCTGCAATGGAGAGTTTTGCCCACTGGCAAAACCTCTGCTGTTTTAGTTGACAAGATTGTAATACGGCAGGGGCAGCCAGGGGGCAAAAGGGCGGGGGACACCTTTGG